CGCATAGTCGAGTAGATTTAAATTACAAATCAGCTTTTGAAGTGATGACCATTTCCTAACCGATGCAACCGAACACCCACCGAGGACAGCAAGTCCAATTTCCAAGGAACGTCGGCAAATCGGCCCATTGAGACGCCCATGTGAACTAGATATGTCACAGATGTCACAACTGATCTTTGTGTGCTTTGTCACTGTGTGACAAAGATAGTTCTTCCATCAACCAACCACAATGCTAAGATACACCGAAACTGTTGCTGCTGCTAGCTTCGTCGAATCGTTCTATCTTTAACTCGATCTAAACCTGCGATATGGTGTGGAGACTACTCACTCGATCTAATTAGGTTTGCTCCCATCGACGCCCCAAAGGACTTGGGAGGGGTAGACATCCTACAACTCGAATTTCCATGTCATATGAGGCTCTCTCACGAAATAAAATTGGGATAATGCAGGGTGATTCCTTGAAGATAACCAAGACAATTGTCAGGAAATTTTGGTAGAGTTGATATAAAGTCTTGGAGATATATCAGCGATAGCTTGTCCAGGGCAGTGTTGCCTGTAAACATCTTTAGAAGATCATGCAGCGCCACCAACACTCTCATGTTTCTGTCTTCTTCGGATGGGTTCAAGCCGTTCGATCTGCAATTGGCCCACACCCGGGTGCTTCAGCCAAATCTATGATCAATATGATCTCCTTGGCTGCAGCTATCAATCCAAAGTATTTCACACTATCTGTCTTTCCACACAGTACAAATGTCGAGCATCTCAGAATGCGAAGACTCAAGAAGCTCCGGATTTCTTCTTCGTTCCATTCTTACATCCGCTTCACCCGCTGCCCTCGACGCGTACCCGTCATCGAGCCATGTCTGGTCCCAATGGCCCTTATCCCAGCTTTGCTTGTATGTATCACCCATTCTTCTATTGGAAGCAAAGCTTTAATCAGTCAACACAGTGGCTCTGGCTTGCGCAACAATTTATGAACATAGTGTGTAACGCCACACTACCTTCGAAAAATTTGCAGCTAATCATTCGTAGTAACGACCTTGGACCAAGAGATTGACTTCATATGGGTAACTAATCGTATCTTGTTGGAAGGATAGCGCAAAGCTCATCGGAATCAATCGCAGCGGCGGCCGAAGTTTAACTTGGTTCAATCCTTATTTTTTGCAGTGCGTTATTTCATTTTTTCCTCGCTTTCATGTACTGATCCGTTGGGTGACAGACACGGTATCTTGGAGATGCAACAATTATGTACGGCTATTATACCTACATGCATATGCTTTTTGAGCGAACTCTTCTCATCGCTACCCCCTTGTATCAGCCACGCCGCTATCGGTATGTTATTTCTCATCCAGGGATCATTGCACCAACTAACTTAAACTATCAGTCGCAGTGACATTCAAGGATCAATCTACTCAGGTATGTCTAATCCTTCGACCATGCTTCTCCTCGTCTAAATGTTTTGCACCATTGCCCCTGCACGCTGCATTGAATTGTCAGAGGTGTGTACTCTCACAGTCCTTCTTGACACACCTTCTCATATTCGATCTACAGCTGTAAGCATTCAGATAACGTTACAGCTCCACTTTAATTCATTCTATCGGCTCAGGCATACGGCACATGAGGATACAAGCGTGGTTGACCTGCTTGGTATTGTGGGCTATGCAAGGTGAGTATTTATACGGCGATATTTAACGGTACCCTAACGAATTTCTTGGGTCTGAAGGAGTTATGATTCTCAGAGTTTCAGTCATCTGGCGATATAAGCGTTTGGTTGTCAACACTCTCTGTACCTCCCTTGCTCTCGAAGTAATATCTTTGGCGCTTATTCAAGGGTACGCTGGCAGAGTGGATACAAGTACGTCGTTCCGTAAAACGTTGTTCACCCGAGCTAATGTCAAGACGACGGTAGATCCCAGCAAGCTCCGGGTGTATCGCGCCACCTGCGCACCCAACTACCCTTCAGATTGGTACTTCCTGATGTGGCTTCCGATCCTTGCGTTTGAATGTGTCATGTTGGTTGCGGTCATGAGAAGGGCAATGCAAATGTGTCCTATACGTAATCCGGAAATCATCAAACTCCTGAACGGCAGCAAGCCTTCACTGATGCAAGTTATGATGAGGGATAGCATCATGTTTCCTATAGCGTAAGATTCCAAGTGCTTTTGCTTTCCCTAAGTAACTGACGATTCCCTGTGATTTAGTGCCCTTTTTATCTGTGTTGTCAACTTTTTGGGGTGGCTTATTCTTCCAGTACGTCACTCGCTTTATTTTATTATTATTTTTTGGACTAAATCGCGAATTCTACAGGTGTGGTTCGCTCGTGTTGCTGTCACCATGACAGCTTTTACAGCAAGAACATTAGGTTGCCGCCTGGTTCTCAACCTCAGAGATCAGTATTATCGGCCGTTCGAAGATGAATACATGCATTCGGTTCCTCCATCACAACCGATTACTTTTGAACAGGATTCTATCTCCATACCCTTGAGTCCCACTTCCCCAACATCCAAAACAAGGTGCTTTTCCATGAATCCGGAAGCACAATGTTGATTACCCTGCTGTATTGAACTGTAGTATCATTCCCTATTTATAACTATATACTTCTTGTTGTATCCTGTACACTCAGAATCACACCATTGGGCTTTCCAAGACCCGAAACTATTAAATTATATGCATAAAGTACAGCTACACGATTAGCCCTGCCCGATGTATACAGAGAACACCGGATAGATAGAGAAATAGGGGGAAATGATGAAATCTAAATATACCCAACATCCACACATCTATCAGAAAAACTAGGCATCCAAAGGGCACCCGAATCATCATGTTTCAGAGGGTGTTTCAAGGTCCTTCTTCATCGATAGGTACAATTCGTCGCAATGCTCGACCAACTCTTGGGCTGAATCCTGGAAGTCGGTCCATCTTCTCACAGGTGTTCGACCAACGCGTTCCGCACCCCACCTGTTTGTCTGTGCACCGAAACGGATGGGTTGATCCGGATCATTGTTGAAAATTGTGGGTAGGAAGATGAGAGGTGCGAGCATCAAGTGTATGGCTACAATTGCGGATTTAAAGGGTACAATCGGATGGTGCGGGGAATTGAGGAGGAGACGACCCTGATGAACGATGACATTTAGCTGGCATGCCATGAAGAAGGTGAAAAATTTGCACTTACGAGGTAGAAGACCCAGACTTTGATTGTGTCCATTATTGGGTAGGCAATGAGAGCAGCACTGATGCTCGTGTGGCACACTCCAGGTTCGGACACCAAGTGTCGAACGCGTGGTGTAGAGGAGGTCGACAAAGCTTTGCGATCCAGGTAGGTACCAACAAGATCAATTTGATATTTGACACACTCGTAGGAGTGGTCTGTCTTGAGCAGTTGCCAGTCTCTGGGATCGTAATAATCGGGGAAAGCTTCAAGAGAAGAAGACCAGATAACTCTAGCTCCTTCCTCCAAAGGCGACTTTTCGAGCATATTTTGTAGTTCACGAACCTAGACAACATAGTGTCAAGCCAGGATTTTATAAGCATATTGTGAAACGTACCATTACAAAATGACTGAATAAATTGGATTGCCATATCCATCCCAAGTTATCCTTGCTGATCTGCCCAGAATATTGCGAGTAGAATTTGGGATATGTCATGAAGGCGAGAGGTTCGGTGAGGAATTGAAGAGCTGCCTTCCAGTATATCAGACCCTTGAAAGGAGCCGTGCCAGCATTCAAGACCAAATGGGTTATATAGGGAAGTCTATAGGAACCATGTAGGCACTACTGCACAACTGAAAGCAGAGAAAATAAACATACTTTGTCCTTAACCTCGCAGCAAACTGAACTACACTCTTGAAAGACGCCAAATCCACCTCTTCGACGCGTACTTCGCAATTCTCCATAAAATTCCGCGCGTGTGCCTCGTCAAAGCCTTCTTCCTGGCTCAGCTCCTGCACATAGTCATCAAACCAGCGTAGTAGCTCATGACACGCGGCGTTGGCCTTTTCGACGTTTCGGCATGCCATGACGAGCGTGAGCCCTTGGTAGCCTGGATGAGGTGTAATCTCGGACTTTGTCTTTGCGAAGGCTTGAGGTCGGCCGTCTAGAGCATCAGGCTGGACAAGTTGGCTCAGTAGCCTCTGGCAGATACCATAGCCTACGCCACTAGAAGATCAAGGAGTTGAGATTAAGCTGCCATGTTTGCTTCGTTTGAGAACAGTCGTGCAAACTCACCCGTTGGCTCCTGTCACGACTACGACTAGCCTATCCTCCAAGGTTGCCACAAACATGTCAATAGTTTTACTCCTCTTTCAAAAACGTGGCCAGGTGGTTGACGACCTTGCCAGAGAGTCGGGAAGATGAGGAGGTTTCTGAGAGAGTTTGAGCAAAGCATTGAATTGCCGTGAGAAGGGCTAACAAATGACTGAATGCCTTCCAGTCAGAGGGCGTCGTACGACATTTGACTGGTGTCACGACGAATCCCATACAGTTTCAATTGGACTTTATTTCTTTTGAAAATTATGAAGCGATTATCATTGAAAAGAGAAATTTTGTGGCCAAACTCATGGTGAAGGTAGGAGGTAAGATGTCACGATATCGATATGCGCAGCAGGAATCAGATGTGCGAAATCTGACTCAATTCACCGCCTTCTCTGCTTTTCATCAGAGTTATTAAGCGCCTCCTTGTCAAGATAGAGATTTATACAGGAAGCAAGGCGCCCTTGATTGGCACCCACTACCACCTAGTGCTTAAATGCTTAATAGGACCTGTTGACGGTAACTCCAAGTCGATTGGGCACTAGACGCGCCACCCACATTATCACATAGGCAGTCGTACATATATCACCATCTGCTGTTCCGCACTTGCCTCAATGCTTTGCGCGTCCTACCCGCCCTCCAAAAAAAAAGCGTCTTCTCGAGCCGCTAGGAGGCGAATAGGTCATAGATACCACTAGCATCAACGGCACGACATCTTGTTGCGGGTTCAAATGCAAAACGTGCAAAATTATATGGGGTTACTGTGGATTGAACACAGGACCTTCAGAACGCTAGAGGTAAGCGCGCTTTCCTTCCAACTTCAGTCTGCTGCTCTCCCAACTGAGCTATAACCCCACATGTTTTATCAGAGACCTTGTCGTGTCTGAAACGGCGGTGTTTTGTTATCATTATTAACCATGCAGGATTCTATGGAGGAAAACAAGATCCAGTCAAAGTTCAAGAGTTGGACATCTTCTGAACTCCTGCAATAATTATCTGTTTGGGGCGTCGTTTTTTAGGTTGTTATTCAAGCTCAAAGATTCAGTCCTTCTTGTTGCCTCGGCTTCATTTTTCAAGATTTGGAACTGTCGAGTAAGAGCAAAAAAGGGGAGGCTTTCCAAGACCTGTGGCAGTGCCGACGCGTCGATCACGCCTCACCTTTTTGCCCCCTGTTTAGTGTCCGCCGCTCCCGAAGAGCATTGTGACAAGCAATACCCAGAGATTCCCCCTTTCTGCTCAATTTTCGTTTTATGTGCATTGCGCTCCCCATTTCTCTTGGAGGGATTTAAAATCAGCCTCAGCTCGACCCATTCAGCTGTTGAACTAAATACACTGGTCTGTTCTGTTCGTCTTCTCTCCAGCGATCCCTGCCTCCTTCACATCCATCACCCCAAGGCGTCTCAGCGGTGGAAGTCAACAGCACACCACGCCACATCGCTGCTTAACTCGTTCCGTAGGCCAAGATTGTTCATGAACAACGGGCGTGTTTGATTTCGCAGAACGTCGACGCTGTACCCAGAACCGTGATACCCCCAGACTCCAGCTTCGACCTTGCTCCATCTTCCCTCTGAACCACGCACAATGCACCTACATTACAGTATCTATAATGCGGGCATTGCATCAATCCTACTAGGGGCGCTGTGCGCATCCTCGTCCCCAACATTAACATCCGAAATGCCACTCGGGTCATGGGATGATATCGCCAGGCGATACACCAGACGCACAGAGGGAGGCATTCACCTCCCCATCGTTCGGACACAGAAACGCCTTTCAGAAGCAGAGATGAAGAGACGAGGTCTAGCAGCTGAGATAGGACTAGGGGATTCCGTCGATGTGTAAGTTCTTTCCGACAACGTTGTCAATTGGCTTGGCAGTGTCTTGAACATCATACATCAGGGCGTACACGGTTCTTGCAACGATTGGGGGAATATCGGTCCCACTTATCCTGGGTAAGCACAAAAAAACATGACTCCACACATTGGAGCGCATCGTCTGACCCTGACATTCGCAGATTCTGGTTCTTCGGATACCTGGGTTATGTCAGATGCTTGTTTACAAGACTGCATGGTATCAGGCGACAATCCAGTGCCCCTATACCCACAAGCTAATTATCGGCCATCTGGGCTTGACGTCGAGATGCTTTACGGAGATTCGCAGACAGGCACTTCCGCGAAAGGCACGATAGGGCAGGATACCTTCGAGATGGCGGGGCTGGCCCTCCAGGATCAGTATTTCGCTGCCATCAATGTGACGAACACCAATTTGATGGAGCTTGGAGCGTCGGGTATTCTGGGCCTTGGATTTCCGATGAATAGGTTGGTGTGGTTTTTGGTCTTCGATTTGAGTGTGATCTGACGGAGACTTTAGCGTTATCTGGAACGATATCTTTGTCAAAGTATACCACTTACGCGATGTATCGAGTATCAAAGCTCGTGCTGGCGAGGACTCGAATTCTCGTCGAGCGTCACCTCCAAACCCCAACGCCAAATTTGGCGCCAATTTCCCATATTCAAATGCCCTGCGGAGGCTCAGCTTCCCGGATATCCCCTCCCTCATCAGTACTTTGCAACCTACTGTAAAAGCCGAAAAGCGCCAGACTGTCAAAACGTCGTCGCTTCTGTACAGTGTCTTTTCTTCCTATGCAACCCTTAGCCCTTTCTTTCCTCGCCTTATTTCCCAATCCGTGCTCAACCAGCCCATGTTCAGCGTTGCGCTGCAGCGCAACACGATCGACGTTGGAGGAAGCCTTGGGGTGCTTAGTATTGGCGAGCTTCCCGATGGCATTTCGAGCGATAACATGACCTGGGTCCCTCTCAGAGTGTACTCGGCTGATCAGAATGGACTCCCTGCACCTCCTGATTCCCCTAATGAGGTACAGTGTATATATCAAGGTACCAGTTTGACTGAATCTCTGACATGTTCTTGTCGATTGTAGGTATACCCAGTGACATGGGAGGTTACGATCGACAATGTATACCTCGATGGAGAGAAGCTGCCTCAAACGAACCTTACGTCAAGTACCATCGGCATATCTGCCCTCGTTGATACCGTAAGAACATCCCTTCCTGTTTACCTCTTCAATGATTTCAATTTCCATTATTCGAAGGGAAACTCCCTCATTCGAGGTCCCGCAGATGTCGTAAAACACATCCGCACGCTTTTGTCACAATCAAGTCCTCACGGAAATGGCCATTTCCCTTGTTCGACCCCGCATACTCTCGCATTCGAGATAGGGGGGAAAATATTCCCTGTGGACCCTCGCGACTTTGCATCACAAGCGTATAACAACAACGTCGAAGAGTGTTATCCGAATCTTGTGGATACGGATACACCGAGACCTGGTGGCTATTTGTTCAGTTGGAGTTTGGGAGTGCCGTTTTTGAAGAGGTTCGAATGATTATGTGTTCTTGATGTCAGAGTTTCGGGCTGAAGGCTGATTAACTCTCTCTTTTTCAGTGTGACATCGTCATATTACTTTGGAAACTTGTCATACCCATCGAAAGACCCTCCGAAGATGGGGTTCCTGTCTACGGTTCCGGCTGACGCAGATCAAAAGATGAAGGACGCAGTCGAGGCTGCGAGAAAGGCGGACCATAATTTCCCTGGTAGGTTGGAACTCCCTTTACTCACCCATTCGACTATTCATGCATGACTTACAATTTGTGTTCACAATCTTTCGTTACAGCCATCTCGGATTTACCTCGCTCTGGGTCTCTCATCCCAACGCGCACTGGTATGCCGCAAGCGACGCTCTTAGGGAGTCAACCGAATGGTGCTGCGAGGTCGGGGCATCATCATGTGAAACACGCAAAGGCAGCTTCGGGTATGATCTTTGGGATGGGATTGGCCCTGGCGGAGGTTTTCGGGCTATGAGACATTGCTGAATGCACAGGCTGTGACGACTGGGACGCACAAAGACGCTTATGATGCATGAATCCATAACGATATATCGGGTCTGTGAAAGACTCTTCTTTGATACCTTTTTACGTATTGGTTCATTTCACCACACACACACAAGTGCGACAATCTTTTTCTTGTATTGTAGCGATAGGATGGGGGAAAGTAAGATATGACGCGACGGTGTAGTATATAGGTACACAATTTATGCGAAGGACTTTTAGATTAAAACTAGGAGGTATTGAAGGTGTACCAAGTACCTATAAAGCTTATTGCGCAGACAAGCGCAGGCGCTTGAGGTTAACTTGGCGGGTATCAATTGATCGCGCGCTTCCCCCTGATGCCATATCGCGAGCGCGCCGGGTCGGGAATCCGGTCGTCGGCTCGTGCGCGCATTTCACTTTTGCAATACCTGCTTCGATGAGTATTCTCCCGAGTACATATAACACGTATGCAATGCGGATACCGGTCCAGCCATGCATTTCGCAGAAATAGATCTCTGTTCGAGGTGAGCATCAGGTGTCTAGGGTATTAATTAAGCCGGCCCTGTAGATTATACACAGACCACTATTGCCGAAGGACACATCGATGGGATGATATGTACCATTTGGTGTGCTCATACGGAAGGAGTCGGGTCGATTCAGAAGATAATGTGACAGATCTCGCGCGCATGCTGCGTAATTGTGGCCTTATCTTTTCTTAGGCGGGCGATTTGGGATATGTTTAGAGCGTTTTGGTTACAAGAATCAGGTGTATGTTGTAGCAATGGTATTAAAATGACCCAGTGGGACAGTTATAGCCCTTCTAATTTGAGACTTCTATCAATAACGTGCGAGGATCGCACCCGGAATACAATTGAAACCAGGCATCTGGATCTGTCGTTGACAGTGGCTCTAGTAGGTCGGACGACCAGTGGTGATCATGACGCTATCACTAGAAATCATGTTATCATGAGCTTGGAGGATAGATGACAGCCACTCAGGGGTGGTCTTGTGCTCCATTCAAGTTCTCGAACCGAGTCATCGACCCTCGTCGAAATTGGAGTAAATTCGAATTCTTCTTGTGCAGTTGACTTGACACTTCCCAAAGAAGAATCGCCAACGCCAAGTGACATGGAAGTGCATTGGTTTCAGTAATTCGTGATGTTAATTGAATAGGTTGATGTAGTGTTAAGCGTTATAAGGATAATAATACACTGTATTGTGAATGTAAAAGGTTGAAAACCGTTCGAAAGTCGTAGCATAAAGGATCAGTGGGATGAGACAAAGTCAGTGTGGGAGAGTAACACAGTGGGTTGTCATGAGTTGGGTCAGTTGACTCTCCATTCTTTTCCCAAAACTGCAATGCTTTCTTTGGATTTGGTGTGCTTCTATGGCCATCCATGTCAGATTCTCTCATACGGTTCAATCCATCTGAAATACCGGTTTGCCAGGTGGTAGCAGGATCAATACCGAGTTCGAAATCAAGAAGGAAGAGAGAGAGAGTATTTTCCGTTAGGTCCGCTATTATATACTTGAAGGAGTATTCAAGGATCATTTGGTTCAATACCGTATGTTACCTTGAAATTCCTAATAAACCCCTTTTATATTAATAATTGTAGCTTTGTTCATAAACCAACTATTCCATCTCGGCACAACACGCTTACTCTCCTCCCTTCCACACGTCGTCGCTTAACACCAAGAACAGGTCTTTTACCCGTTCAACAGTGTGCACCCTCCGCTTACCAGCCCTTTAAGTTCCTAACGCCGCACCACTACCCACAGTTGTCTGTATCCCTCCCCCACATTTGCTCTCTTATCGCTTACTCACATCCCGCTAGCCCTTGCTGTGTGCTCTGTTTGACGTTGCAATCATCGTCGGCCACACAACTCGACTGATACATAATCGATAAGCGCCTTTGTGCCTGTCTACCCCGCATTCGCCAAGAACGTTATTGTTACCGACGGCTGCGTCGAGCA